GCTGCACCCCGTAGCCGGCGCCCATCCACGCTGCCGACGACTGCGTCTGACTGCGGAAAGAGGAACGAAACCACTTTGTTAGGCAAAAAAAAAAAAAGGGGGGGTGAGTAACGAGGCAGAACTTCGCGGAGAATTTGGGGGTCCCCAGACTCCAGGTGCAGAAGGACCTGGCCGGGGTCCAGGCGGTGCGAGCAGCGGCTGCGTCGCATCTTGTCCTGGTTTGAGCGACACCGGACTTAATTCCTCTTCTACTGCTTGGGAAAACTGCACTTTTAGAAGACTCCAGTGCGTGAATTTGTGAAAATATTGACTTTCTGGACGGGCTGGAGAGTTGGGCTTCAAGGTCTCAGTGTTTTCAAGCATGCCAGGTGCAGGGATGAGGAGGAGCGAGACCTGGGCACTTGACCCAAGCTGGCCAACAGGATTATTTCATACCATCAATGTCACATTCCCTATAAATTAGAAAGTTGGCTGCAAAGTTCTCTTTCTCCCTTGATGGCTGCGATCCTGAGAACTTCATGCCCTGATGCCGGACCCCTGAGGCCTTCCCTTTCTCCTGCAGTCGTAACGCTCGCAGTGTCCGACATTTGCTGTTTGCTGCTGGGAGTGCAGAGCTTCCTACTGATAGAATTGGCTGAGTATGATCTTTGCATATTCTGTATTGGTATCGGGATCAATATTGGTTCTTTAGTGCTGTTAATGTTAATTATCTAATCTTACTCTATTAAATCTGCTTATACTTCAACTCCCATGTTTCCTTGTTTTTCCCGATTCCCTTTCCCAGGTGGGGAGGGGTCATCAGGTGATAGAATGATTGTCTAAACGACAATAAATTGTTATGGGTTTCTCAAATCCTTAGATCCCACAGAACTTTTCAACTAGTACAGGGCAGCTAGGGGAAATAGGTACCATAACGTGTAAAAACTCTGCCAAGGAACCCAAATAAGACCTTTTCTTCAGTAGGGAGGGAAATGTCCACAGGGACTCTGAGAAGCTTTACCATCTTCATGAGCCAGACGTTCTGCCTCTCGTTCTAACATGGCCCTCTCTGTATCCACCTCCATCACACACTGTAGAGGGGTCTTGTCACTGGGAGGCATCTCTCGGGTCAGGTGATAGATGTCAATATGCTCGGGGATGGGCACTTCTCGTTTCCCAATAGCTGACAAAAGCATGGATTTCCCTGTGTGCAGACAGACACTCCACAATTAATTGTTGGATTCAGTGAGATACAATGTCACAGAGAAACGGAAGAGAGGCAGCCAGATCCCATTGACCCCCTCCCTTTCCAACCCCAGAAAATCCTTGGGAATTTCTTGCCCAAGAAGCCAGGATAATTAGAGACACAGCAGACCCTACTGCCTCACTGATACAGGCTGCCCTTCCAGCTAAGGCTCACCACCCCAAGGACAGGATTAAGACAAGCTCCTCTTTGGAAACCACTGCAGGTCAGCCTTGGCCTAGATTTAGGGAACTATCTCTGCTGTACACTTCCTGCTGTCTAACCAAGTCTGACATCTGCTACCAGGACCCCAGAGTCTAAAGACTTCCAACATGAAGGAAAGTAATGCACTCATCACTAGAAAACCTAAGCGTCTTCCTGAAAGTTAAACCAGCCGGTTACGGGGCGAGAGAATAATTGTCTAAACGACAATAAATAGTTGTGGGTTCCTCGCACCACAACAACGAGCGACCGCTCTGGCTTTCCGGGGGCAGAAGGAGGGAATATTTTCAGAACCCTGCTCTAAAAAGCTCTACTATCCCTCCTTATCCTTACAACCTCCGAGTCCGACGCTCCTCTTCCTCAGTCCGTGCTACGGGCAGCGCGCGGAAGGAAGAAGCCGTTCACCCGGCACCG